GTGGGGGAGCTCAGCAGCAGACTGGGGGGGTGGGGGGTCAGCAGCAGACTGGGGGGTGGGGGTGTGGGGGGACTCAGCAGTAGACTGGGGGGTGGCAGGGGGTGGGCTCAGCAGCAGACTGGGGGGTAGGGGTGTGGGGGGGCTCGGCAGCAGACTGGGGGGTAGGGGTGTGGGGGGAATCAGCAGCAGACTGGGGGGTGGGGAGGCAGAGGAAAGAATCAGAGAATGGACAGATGTAACAACAGAAGCTAGTTCATGTAAACCACAGAGAAAACGGAGGAGAAAGAGAAAGAAAGAGCCTCAGGGACCTGTGCAGCCATAATGAAGGATCCATTGTGTCAGGGGAGGCCCAAAGGAGAGAAAGATGGTGGGGCTAAAAAAGTACTCAAATAAGGACTGAAAATGTCTCAAATTTAGCAAGAAGCTCAATCCTATAAAAAAAAAAAAAGTTGAGCGAAATTCATATGGATAAACCCAAAGAAATGAATGCCAAGATTACAGTAAAGCTTCTGAAAACAAATGACCAAGAAAAAAATCTTGAAAGCAGCCCCCTAAAATGATACCTTACACAGGAGAGAAAAATAATGAAGTGAGACTTTTCATCAGAAACCATGGAGATCAGAAAAAAGTGCCAGAATATATTCCATATACTTGGAAGAAGAGAACTGTCAACCAAGATTTCTGTAACAAGCACATATATTCTTCAGGACTGAAGAGGAAGTCAAGGCTTTCTCAGCTGATGGACAACTAAAAGAATCTGTCCCCAGTGGAAGCCCCTCCTCTAAAGCAATGGCTAAAGCAAGTTCTCTACATAGAAAAAGTAAGTAAAGAAAACAGAAAGAAGAATCTTAGATTATCAAGAAGCAAGAAAGAACACGGTAAGTAAAAAGTATGAACAAACACACTAGAGTTTTCTCACTCTCCTGAGTTTTCTAAATTATTTTGGATGATTTAAATAAATATTACAACACTGTCCCGAGGCATCTGGGTGGCTCAGCTGGGTTGAGTGTCTGGCTCTTGATTTCGGCTCAGGTCGTGATCTCTCAGACAGTGAGACTGACCCCTGAGTCAGGCTCTGCGCTGACAGTGCGGAGCCTGCTTGGGAGTCTCTCTCTCCCTCATTCTCTCACCCTCCCCCATTAGTTCTCTCATTCTCTCTCAAAATAAATAAACATGAAACAAATTTTAAAAATTACAACGCTATCTGATATGGTTTTCAGTGTACATAGGAGAAACACCTGAAACAATTATATTACAAGGCGCCTGGGTGGCTCAGTCAGTTAAGCATGTGACTCCTGTTTCCAGCTCAGGTCATGATCTCACAATTCGTGAGTTTGAGCCCCACGATGGGCTCTGTGCTGACAGTGCGGATCGTGCTTCGGATTCTGCCTTCCTTTTTCTAGCTCCAAATAAATAAGTAAGTAAATAACATTAAAAAATAAAAGAATTATATTATAAGCAAGGAGAATACAGGAATATAAGGAAGGTACAGGTTTTTCTCCCTGAACTGGTAAAATGATGAGACCAGCAACGTGATAGCTTATGTGTGAAGATAATGTCATATTCATCACAGTGACTAAAAAACAAACAAAAACTATGCAAAGCAAAACCCTGAAAAACACCATGGGTAAGTATAAATGAATTCTGAAACATGTTCACTTAGTCTCCAGAAAAGAAAAACCCCCAGAAAAACAAAAAAGAGGTAACAAATAAGAACCAAAAAATAAAGTGCCCTCAGAAAGGCAATAATTACTTTAAATGTAAATGGCCAAAACACACAACCTTTTTCCTTTACAAGATTTTTTAAAAATTCAAGTTAATTAGCGTACAGTGTACTGTTGGCTTCAGGAACAGCCTTTTGTGATTCATCACTCACATAGAACACCTGGCGCTCGTCACAAGTGCCCTTGTTCATAAACACACAGAGAGCGTCATGACTGTGTGTCATCCTTGCGCAGGGGCCGTGCTAATCTTCTCCGTGTCGTTCCAACTTTAGCATGTGTGCTGCCTAAGTGAGCACCAAAATACACAATTTAAAGAGAGACTGGCAGGTGGACTAGACATGACCCCACAATATCCAGCCTATAAAAAAACACAGAGTAATAATGTAGTAGTGAAAGTATACATATCACATACAATAAACGTACCACGCGAACATTCACCAGAGAACGCAGAAGTGCCTGGGTTGGCATCTCACAAATTACTTTGGAACAAGGAAAGTGACCAGAGAGAAAGAAGAACATTATACAGCGAAAACCAGCATCAATCACCCAAGAAAGCTTACTGTGAGCATGCACCGGACAACAGAGCTACAAAGGATGGGAAGTAGACAACGATCGAAGTGAAAGGAAAAACAGACAAATCACAACCACAAAAACTGTAGAACTACCAGCCAGAAAACCACCTGCAAGGGTAGATTAGATGTCAATAGCATCATCAGCTAACAAGGTCTAATTGTCATTTATAAAACAGTCCACTGAGCAACGGCAGAATATTTTTAAGTGACCAGGGAACATATCCCTACACAGACCACATCATGAATAACACAAAGTGCAACAAATTTAAATCTCCAAACATTTGGAAACTAAACACAGTTTCTAAATAACTTGTGGGCCAATGAGAGTCTAAAGTAAAATAAAATACGTTGAACTCAATGAAAATAAGCACATCAAAATGTGTGGACGAGAGCACAGCAGTGCTAGAGAGGGAAATGCAGAACACTAATGCATCAGAAAAGACAAGGCTCCAGTCAACAATCGAAATTCCCAACTAAAGAACCTAGAAAAAGAAGAGCAAAGGAAACCCAAACAGAGCAGAATGCAGGAAATAATACAAGAAATCAACAGGGCTGAAAACAAAAATACAACGGAGAAAAAAAATCAATAAAACCAAAGAGCTGATTCTTTGAAAAGATAAATAAAACTGACCATTTCTAGCAGAACTGACTCGAAAGAGAGGAAACAGATTACCAGACGGGGATAAAACGGGTCATCACTTCCGGCTCTGCAAACGTTAGAAGAATAAAGATAGGTTATGAAGAACACGACATACGTGTGTTAGATGACGACTGAGAAGAAATGGACCAATTCCTTGAAAAACACAAACCACCTCAATTCGCCAAAGGGACACTGATAATCTGACCAGCATTGTAAGTACTAAATAACTGACTTCATATTTAAAATATTTCCAAAAATTATATCTCCAGGCCCAGTTGGTTTTACTGGAGAATTCTGCCAAATAAGGTATCAACAACAACCTTATACAATTTCTCTGGAAACTATAAGAGAGAATGCTTCCCAGCAGATTTTATGAAGCAGTCTCCTGAGGCCAAGACCAAAGTCCAAAAATAGTAAACATCGCTAGCCATCAAGGCAATAGGAAGTAAAACCACAGTAAGATATCTCTACACACTCATCAGAATGGCTAAAATTAAAAAAAAATAACAACAATATCAAAAGCTCCTGAGGACGTGGAGAAAGTTGATCACTTATATACTATTTACGGGAATGTAAAACGGTACGGCCACCCTGGAAAACACTTTGGCAACTTCTGTTTGTTTTTTTTTTATAGTTTATTGTCAAGTTGGTCTCCATATAACACCCAGTGCTCATCCCCATAAGTGCCCTCCTCCATGCCCATCACCCCCTTCCCTTCCCCCCCACCCCCATCACCCCTCCCCCCCATCTGCTCTCAGTTTGTTCTCTGCATTCAAGAGTCTCTCACGGTTTGACTTTGGCAACTTCTTACAAAAACTAAACATGCAACCCCAGCAACTGCTGGGGAGCAGCTGACCCAGCAGTTGACCCAGCAACTGCACTGGGGAGCACACAGTCCACAGAATGACAACTCGCTTCACAGAAAAGCCCGCACATAAACATGCACAGCAGTTTTGTCTGTTAGAGCCCCGCCTGGAAACAACTCAGATGTCCTAAAAGGTGAGTGGTTCAACGGGCCACGGCGCCTCTGTGCCACGGAACATGGCTCTGTAATCAAAAGGAACGAATTCCTGATGCACATGCCACAGATGGATTTCTAGAACATTTGTGCCGAGTGAAAAAAGCCAACCCCCAGATGCTACCTGCTGTGTGACTGTGCTGGAGCGACAGTCTCAAAGAGACAACACCACACAGAGGGAGAAGAGATCAGTGGTTGCCAGGGGGCACGGGGGGGGGGATGGGGGGGTCCGGAGGGGGGGCAGGGCATGGGTGTGGGGGTCCAGGGGGGGCACATGGCTGTGGGGACGGAGAGAATCTGGACTTTATCAAGGTCAGTACCCCAGCTGCTAAGCCCTGGGGGAGACCAGGAAAGGGCACACAGAATCTCCGTTACGCTTCCCACGTATATGCGAATCTACAATTCTCTCAACATGAAATGTTCCATTGAAACCAGACACTAGCAGAGTCTGGTGGCTCAGTCAGTTCAGTGTCCAACTCTAGAGTTCAACAAGCCCTACACTGGCCTGTTTGGGATTCTCTCTCTCTCTGTCTAAAGTAAAAATAAAAAATGTATCTATATAAAAGAGGATGCACGAAGCAGTGTGCACACAGACGCAGCAGAGTGACGGGCAGACTCACGTCTGCAAGCAGCCACCGTGCAGGGCCTGCCACTGTTCTACTAAGAGGAAGAAACCCAGTGCTGGGCATAGGGTCTACGCGTAATGAATTTATCAAACCATCTATCGAATAATTCAGTAAATCCTGCCATTACTCTAGTGTCCCTACTTCCTTATGAACTCTGGGCAGAACACTTAATGAAGGTGCCTACCTGGCTATAAGCTCTGAGCCACCGGGTAGGATGGCTGCACGTGAACGCAGCCCGGGTTTGCTGGCCACACAAGTGAGGAGGCCGGTACAGTATCTGTGATCTGACGGCAGAATCACACAAGTTCAGCTGTAACTTTTTGGGGCGTAAAACTGAAGCGAGGACTTCCGAGAGGGGTGCCTGCATAAAGTGAGGCTGGGAGGCACCGTACTTGTCTGCGGCTAGGCTTTCCTGAAAACCTAGGGACACTGACTCAGCAGCTCTCGAGCTGTGAGGACTCTGAGTGGCGGAGGGGAAGTGTTCTAGGCACAGGACTGGCGTGTGCAAAGGAAGGACACTAGCTAAGAGGCTGACAAGGCTACAGCGTGAGCACCTGAGGAAAAGCGTACAGAGACCGGAAAAGGTCACCTAGAATGCGGTAGTTTGAGAACCACGTGGGCAGTGACCATGGACTGTCAAGGACACTGCCCTGTCACCAAACCACAGGGAGAAGGGAGGTTGCTGGCCTCACCCACGCAAGTCTGGCCTTCTGGACATCAGGAAATAAAACCAATCAGTAATAAAAAAACGCTTTAGGCACCCTGCTAGTGACGGTCTGGTCAGTGCGTATAATTACTTTGCTGAAGTTACTATGTATTTCTTCACCTGATAAAAGTCAGGATTATCTAAGGCAGGCGACCGCCAGCACAGGACTTCTCCCAGAGGGGCCATCATTTCCGAGGGAAGTCTGAGCAGGGATAGTACGAATACTCACACGAACACAATGTCCCCTCTCTTGGAGTAGGCGGGGATGGCGCTGGCGATGGTGGCGAACCCGTACGAGTAGATAATGGCTTCTTCCGTCTGCATGAACTTTGCCAGGCGGTCCTCGAGGTCCAAGTGCACATCTACAGTAAGACGCCAAACCGTTAGGACATCCCCTTATGCTTTTAAGTAGAGAACAGAGAGTAAGGCCAGCAGTGTCGTTAACACTGTCACGTTGCGGACAGAATCAAACTGTTTCTGCGTTATAAATTATAGATCTGTTTAGGTAAGTCTGGGCCAAAACCATTTCTGAAGTCTGCGAATGGGATCAGCTACTCATCTGTCCCTTGAAGCACTGGGGGTGGGGAGGGGCTGCAACTACGCCGGGTTCTGCTTCTGTGTCAGGGCAGCGCGGCATTCAAGGCCCGGTGACTTCACCTGCTTTAACGTCCCTCAGCCAACCGCACCGAGGCTTCACCAACGTGCAATGCGTGAATTTTTAAAGCCTTTTTCACGTTTTGGCTGAAGGTCCACGGCAGACATTAGGACAGGTGTCGGCCAGCCTCAGAAGGAGGTGAAAGCAGCCCACGTGCGCACATCACAGCAGCGCTCCCCGCCTACAAGCTGTGGCGGGACCGCGCTGTGCACCTGCTGTCACCCCGCAGCACTGACGCTCCTGTTTGAATTTCTATTTAAGTGGACTGGGGATCACAAACATATGGCACAAAAAGAAATACGGGATTTTCTAGAAGCCGCTGAAGAAGCCTGCCGGTTAACGGTGGGAACGGACTGCGCTCGCGACACAGGTACCTCTCCCCTGCCCCGCTTCTTACAGCCTCACCTCCCCTGGCTCCGCCATGAGGCTTCAGGCCCCAGCACAGAGGGCCCAGCGAGGTCTAGAAGCGGCAGTGTGCTGACCAGCTTCGAACCCGAAAACCTCAGAGGGGCCTAAAATGAGTCATCCCTGGGAGCGAATAGGACTTTTTAAACCTCCTTTAGCTCTTTTAACTACCGCAGGACGTGGGCCTGGAGAAGGACCCGGCATGGCCGCGTGCCCTGCGCGGGCCCTCGGGGGCGCTACGGGAAGCGTGCGGCCAGGCCCGCCGGCCTTGGAGCGCCGGGGCCGCGAGGCAGATTGGAGGCAGTAAAGGCAGACTCGGAGGCCACGAAGGGGAGCCGTGGCACACTGACTCAGGAGGCCTGGCAGTCCGGGCAGGGGCGGGTGTCCAGAAGGGCCCCGGGAAGGGTGGTGCGGAGGGCCCGACGGAGCTATCGGACCCGCGCGAGGCCGCCATGTGGGGGCTCCACTCCAGGGCCCTGCCCTCCACCGAGCATGGTCTCCCAGAGATCAGGGAGAAGGGAGAGAGAGACATGAGGCCTGAGTGACCAAGATCCGAGACAGAGAGGATTCACCCTAGCTGGTTCGGGCCTGAGTGGGCTAAATACTCCCGCTGTAGGGACAAGACACATGTCAATTGTCGGGGTAAGGTTTCTAGCACCTTCCAGACAGGAGCAAGTGAGCTACGTGAATGCAGCTGTAAGAAATAAAGAACCAACTTCTTAGCACATCTGAATCAAGCATCTCAAATCCGTAAACCCACTCACTGGTTGATCAGGGACAAGCTAATCTTATCATGATGGCTTTTAATTAGTCGAAGAAAATTAAGCATTACAGAAGTTTCAACTTCACAAGGGACTGTATTTTTAAAAGATGGGGGGGTAATAATTTTCTCATCCCTTTATCGGACAAACATGCCGTGACCACCAGAGAGAGACAGATGGCGGGACAAGCGCAGGACCCTGGCACGTGGCAAGGCGACAGGGCCCGGGGGGCGGGGCGCGGCAGGCACAGAGAGCGCCGAGCCGGAGCCGAGGGACGTCCGCGCCCTCAGGCACCGCGGCGCTCACCAGTACCACACGACTGGCGGAACAGAGGGGACGGGGGAACGAGCGACTGAGTGAGGGGTGGCGGGACACAGGCGCCCTCCACTAAACCCCGCGTGGCGGCAGGGGACAGAGTGAGGAATTTGGAATGGAGCGATACCCAGAAAATAACAGACTGAAGCCCCTTCCACGCGTGTGCTTCTCAGACGACGTTACAGAGTTCTGGAATGAACGTTCCAATCAAGTGATGACAAAACAGTAAACACGCGTCTTCCTACCTGCAGGCAGTATGTGCCCGACACGGCCTGCCTATCACGGGACAAGAAGAGCGGTCTGGTTTCTGTTACCAAATGGTTAGCGTCATTCAACAGAACGACCTTCCACGACGTGAACGTACAGTGTGGGGGGGGTTCTACAGTAACAAAGTCGAGAGCAGCTCCCATCTGACCGGAATGGTATTACGAGTGCTGAGCCCCTCACGCACCAGGCCTGCGACACCAACGCCACAGTCGGGGACGTGGCCACGACCCCGCCCGCTGCCCAGCACGAGACGCTGCCAACGAGAGCCATCAGGCGAATTCAGAGCGAGGGGCAAGGGGCAGAACGCCAGGCACCAGGCAGCTTCCCGCGGAGGACGGAGCGCCTCCCTCACCCCTGCAGCTGCGGCTCCCTCCCTACAGGCAAGTCCCGCCACCCCCACTCTGATCAGAGGGCGGGTCGCCGCAGGAGGCCTCCTCCCCCACATCGTCCTGGTTCAGCACGTGGACAAGCCCGGCCACGGCGACCTGCTCTCACCCACGACCGCCAAGTCAAGGGGGAAAAACATGCTATGGACACAAACATTTTCGCTAACTGCAAAAAGGATCTTAAATCATTCTGTAGACTCTGCCCTGAAGGACTCATTTTTTTCACTGATCAGAGATGAGAAAGTAAAACACTCTTGGCTTAACTGCAGGGCTTTAGAGCTAGTTACCCAGCGGATGAGAACCGTACGTCAGAAACGGTTTCGCTGCCGTGTACACTCCTAACCGCTGTCTGTCGCTGCCATAAAGTGCTTACGAAGAATCTTCACAAGCAGTCGATGACTGGCTGATCCTTGTCTTTCCCAAAAGTTGAAAAAAGACCGGCCTTTTCCTCTTGGTTTTGCCGCCGGCAGCCTCGCGAGGCAGGCTCTCCGACAGCCGGGGATGGCCTGCTGCGTGGCTCCCCCGCTGCGCGCCGGCGACTCCGCGCCACACGGGCGGAGGCAGCAAGCAGGAAAAGGGCCGTGTTCTCCTGCTCCCGGCGTCTGTCCTCTGTGCGGACGATCCAGCGGCGACTCGTGCCACAGGAGTGCTCGCGGCGCGAGGGAAGCGCTACACCCTCTGCGGCGCCGCAGGGAAGAGGCGCGGCGGGGAGGACCGCGGAGCTGGGTGCCCGGAGAGCCTGTGCGTCCCTCCCCGCGCCCGCTGCCGCGCCCGAGCCAGAACCCGTGAGACAGGACGCGGAGCCAGGCCGGGACACGGGGCACCCGGGGCAGGCCTGAAACTGCCCCGCGCCTCGCCGTCGGACCTGCCTCCAAGCCCGGGCCTGCCACGGCCACGAGGCAAAGCCCTCAACACTCAGGATGCTGCCTGGCACGGAGACACCGAGAACGGTCTGCGTGTTTGTACCATTAAACCAGTATGTGAAGAATAAAAAGAAAAGGTTTCCTCTTAAAAAGAAAAGGCAGTTATGCTATCCTACTCAAGTTGTCCAAATCCCGGACGTTTAAGAGCTACGAGTCACGGGCACTTTCCCGCGTGCCACTCACACGGGGTACCCTCTTTTATTCTGGTAAGACGTGCAACGCCGTCCTGGTTGTTTTCCAAGGGAAAGACTAAAAAACAGTCAACTTAGGACAGTTTAAAATCATCTACATTTTTTCTTAAGGCTTCTAAACTTCTGTGCTTCATACTGTTGTTGTTTTTTTTTAAATCCCTTCAGACTTGGACAACATTTCTTAAAAGTGCAAATAATATCACTTATGCACTCATTACAACATAAGCATAGTGCTGAACGTTTTCCACCACGTTTTTACGTGCAGTGCCTTACGCGAGTCTCAGTAAAGTGTCCCAAGCTGTGCAAACAAGGACAGTCCCCTCCTACACCGCAAAACCAGCCCCATGACCTTCTGGCAACAAGAAGTGGCAGATCTAGGAACTTTACGACCAAATGTTCTTCCTAATGAAACACGCAGTCAGGGCTCAGCTGACTGCTTTAACACCAAGAAAGAAGATATTCTGAAAAGTAAAGGAACCATTTACTTGTTGGCTACTGGCTCTAGAACACAAGTGTCCCTCACCGTGACACCCTGCCACGAACTGGGCTTGGATTTAGTTGAAGAGCAAGGAGCCAAGCAGGCAGGGTACATGCGGAGTGGGTCCCGGGAAGCCAGGGTGGGCAGACCTCGGGCAAGTGGGGCGTGTGCGTACTCAGAGCACAGACAGAGGAGCTGGACAAGGGGAAGCAGCACGTGCAGGGGGGCCGCCAGCGCCCGGGGAGGGACGCGCTCCACAACCTGACAAACCCGCTGGCCCCGTTCTCACACACACACGCCAACGGTACAGGAGAAGGTGGGAAGACGTGTCACCCCTGGTCCTAGAGAACGACTAGAACTCGCTGAGGGCTATTTGCCAGAGGCGGAAGGACATCCGGCCTACACACTAGATGAATTTTAACACAGCCATTGTTTGATTTTTTTCCGTATTAATCATCTGTTACTATGAAGTAATAGAGAATATTTTAAAAAGGCAACTTACAAGGGATTTACACTCATTTTCGAAAGGTGAGGAAAGAGCTCAGTGAAGAAGTATTTTCATGTTTGAAAACAGATGTCTCAGTGTTACTTCCAGGGGAAGAAAAGATGAAATTAAAAATCACTTTCTGGGGGCCTAGGGAAAGAGGCCTCCGGCCGCAGGGGCATACAAGCAACTTCAAAGGAGAGGAAAAGGGTCCTCAGTCTGCTCTGTGGCTCAGAGAAAAGAGCAAATACACCCTAAATATTCAGAATAATTTAATTGTGGAGGGTTATTTTAGAGATTTAAAATTTAGCCTTCCCTGAGCTTCTCTGATCTTATCCAACGCTAAAATTTCAAGGTAATTTAATATAACTAAAATAACTTAAGCAACTCGTTCCAGAATAAAGAAAAATGTAACAAATGTCCTGTCAGGGGTGTCTGGGTGGCTCATTCAGGTAAGTGTCCAACTCTTTACTTCAGCTCAAGTCATGATCCCAGGGCCATGGGATCAAATCCTGCGTCAGGCCCCGTGCAGAGCATGGGATGCTGAATATCCTGTTTGGGATTCTCAATCTCTCTCTCTCATTCTGTGCACCCCCTCCCCCCGCCCCCTCTCCCACTTGTTCTCTCTTTCTAAAATAAAATTTAAAAAATAATTATACAAAAAATATCCTGTCAGAAAAGCAGAATGTGAAAATGTGGACAGTATCCACATAAGAATGAACAGCGGTGACAAGTTAAGCATGGACACCCGTGAAGGAGGAACACAATCAGCTTTCCAGAAGGACGATGCACCTGGACAACACGATGCGTCACTCCGAGCTGTGGAGCTGGTATCCTGTTACAAAGCTGTCACACGGCAAGTCCACCTCCGGCCTCTACACTGAAGCCACCATCTGTCTGAACCTTCCACTAGCCACAATCCGGCAGACCCAGTGGCCGAGAAAGCACATGACATGAGAGGTGACACACAGCTGGGATCATTACTCTGCCCCTGGTAACCCCCTCAGATCCCTGAAGATCCAAATCCAATTTAAAGTTCAGGGGCGCCTGGGTGGCTCAGTTGGTTAAGCGTCCGACTTCAGCTCAGGTCATGATCTCACAGTTTGTGGGTTCAACCCCTGCGTCGGGCTCTGTGCTGACAGCTCAGAACCTAGAACCTGCTTTGGATTCTGACTCCTTCTCTCTCTGACCCTCCCCCACTCATGTTCTGTCTCTCTCTGTCTCTCAATAATAAATGTAAAAATAAATTTTTTTTTAAATAATGAAGTTCAAACAAAATCACTGCAACAGCAAGGCACAGAACACGTGTGGGGAATGCTGCCATTTTAGGGGGGAAATGTATGTACGGAAGGGGTGTGCATTTGCTGAAACAGCTTCTGGAAGAATTAACAAGCAGCTAACTGACAGCAGCTGTCTTTTCTGGAGGTGGGATAATGGCGGGGACGAGACTTTCACTCCCTATAAACCTTCTAAAGTTTGTATCGTGGGCTGAACTGTTCAATCAAAAACATTAACTCACAAACCATCAATTAAAGACCTCACGTTTGGAAGCAGGTAACAACCTACTACGTGACCCAAACCGAAAGCTGACTGGGCTATTCTACCAGCTCTGGAAAAACTGGTTTTGACAAGTTGAAACATTTTTTTTCATGACTTGATTTAGTATGAAATCTGCTATCTATCCTCTGAAATTAACTCCCAAGCAGGGGCCAAGGCTACACGTGCAAATAAAATCCACAAGAGAAGCTTATAAGAAAACTATTTTTTTACCCCAGCAAGGAAATCATAGAAAATATTGTTGATCAGAAGACATCAAACAACCCCATTAAAAAAAAATACAAAAAAAGAAGGCCTCTTCTAGTCTTTTAAGACTTTGTCTCTAGGAAATAATCCCCTACCAATAAAAACCAAGCCAAAAAACCACATTTGCACTAGACTGGGGCGAAGAGGGAGACTGATCTGCACTTTTCAAGTCTCTGCTCTTCCCATGAAGACGGACAGTCAGGGTACTTGGTTTCTAGTTATAAGGCTGAAATTCATGAGCTGTGTGACTGTGAAGAAGTCAAGTAACCTCTCTGAGCTTTCTACACTGCTTCTAAACGGCTGCGATGCTGGAATACAGATTTTTCAGATCCTTTCCAGCCTATGATGACTGGACACCAACTTTGTTGTCTGTTTCCAACACAAATAATTTAACTTCTAAGCTAGCTAAGGAATGAAAGAAGGTTTTCCCTTAAATAAAACACCTTAGCTGTTGAAGGCCGAGAAAATGGAAATACAAACAGAAGAGAGAACAGACCTCCCGGCTGTGTTCCCCATATGCTGACGCTAAGCCGGCAAGTTATTTCCAGTAACATATTCATCTGAACAATTATTTAGCGAGGAGGCTGCCTGAGGGAGGTGTGTCCCAGCCTCTCCACGGTAAGGCCGCACCTAGGTTCTGTGCTCACCACCGGATGTGGCAGCGAGGGGCTGCTGTGCGCATTCCTCCCCCACACCCGCCACGTGGCTTCAGCCACACGGACGAGCTCCGTGTCCCTTGGCACTAGAGGAAGGGGACGAGAAGAACCAGGTTCCTGCAGGACCATGAGCGGAGCCGCCGCAGGCACGCAGGCAGGCACAGGCCGGGTCCCCGCAGCAGCCGCGGCCACGTGTGCCCACCCTCCGGAGATGGTGCAGCCGAGGCACCTGCATCTTCTCTCCGTGAGCGACGCTCAGTCCCAGACCAGGGCACTGCCGCCATGATTCCAAACCCAGACGCACTCACCCACCCAATGTCACAATGAGTCAAGGATACCTTTCCCAAGGAGTTCTGAAACCAAGTTGAGTCAATTCTTAAAAGCAGTAGTCTGGGCCCCTGGGGGGCTCAGTTGGTTAAGCCTCCAACTTCGGCTCAGGTCGTGGTCTCACAGTTGATGAGATCGAGGCCTGTGTCGGGCTCTGTGCTGACAGCTCAGAGCCTGCTTCAGATCCTATCTCTCTCTGTCTCTGCCCCTCCCCTGCGCATGTGTGCTGTCTCTCTCTCCTGAAAACAAACATTAAAACCAATGCAGTAGTGTGGGAGGGAGGGCAGAAACGTACCGAACGTGCCATAAAACCCTCTCGGCCCGCAGGTCCCCACGCCGTACTTCCTCAGAGACGCCAGAGCCGCTGCCTTTGTGCACATCAGAAAAATCAGGTTTTAATCATCTTTTTTCGGAGTTCAAAACTGACATTTCCTATGCTTTAACCCACACGGCAACTCCACCCCTTCCTTTCTCAGAACCGTTGCACTTCTAACAGGATGTAAAGAGCAGACACGTGTAAGGATTGAGGGACAGAACTTAAAACATGGAAAAGCTGTGTTCTAACCTATCAAACCTGGGTTAACGCAATGCCTTTATACTGTGGGTGTTTCTGGGCACACGCCTGCCACAAAGAGCCTTCCTGGCCCGCGCTCCCCAAAGGAGTCGGGGCAGTTGCCTCCGACCACTGCTGGGCTGTCTCCCGCGGCTCCCTGCGTGTCCCTGCCACCGAGCCACATGAGGCACGCATGTCGCCCACCCTCTGTCACCAGGCCACAGCTCTGCTGAGCGAGAGTGCCGGCAGCCGGCAGCAGCCAGCGCCCTTCCTGACGCTCCGCGCTTGTCTACTTCAGGCCCAGTTTCCCAGGGAGACCTGCTGCCTCCAGCGCGGGTGCCACTCACCTTGACCCGAGGGTTGTCCAGTAGTCCAAGAAAGTTAAACGAGGCGAAGTTGACACATTTTTTCCCGTTCACCACAATGTTGTGGCTCGGAGGGCTGGGGAAGAGAGGAGAGCGGTGTGTCTGAACAGACGTCCATGTTATAGGGCACGTGACACCACACCACCCTGGTGGCCCACGGGACACAGAAGTGTTGTCACTCTACCCGGTTTGTGTCCTAGTCTTCTAGTTCTTTATTTTTAAAATGTACAATTAAAACATGGTATTTTAAAATTCACCGTTAATTCTCTTTGTATTATGCTACCTTGTACTACTTAATTTAAAAAAGGTGAGCTACAATTCCAACACAGATTAGTGGTAAATCTTTGCTTTGATTTTAAAACTCATGAAGAAAGAACTAAATGAAGTACCTCAGAAAATAATCTGGAATAAGATGAATAGGAAGGAAATATAAAACATCAAGATCAAAAGCAAGAAGAGGCAGAACAAGATACGGCCTCGCAGTTGAGTAGTTTAAAACTACATGTCAATTAGATGAAGCCACTGAGGAAAGTACGCAGGGTTCTAAAGTCAGTGCTGGGTTACTATGCGAGGTGTGCGGGGGTAGGAATGGGGCGGCCAGCGTGGGGGAGCACCGATCAGAATTGGGCTGGGCTGGGAGACCGTTCCTGGGGTGACCGCCAGGTCCCCACCCGGCAACACTCCTCGAGGTCATGCTTCAAGAACACGGGGCCAAACTGCAGGTCACGAGCCAGTGAAGCCGATGTAGGCACAGCCAGGCTCTTGGAGCTGAAGGAAGCCCTGAGCGGAGTGGGACAGAAACTCTATTGGTGTAATCAGACCCACTAACTGCTTGGAGCAGGGAAGTCACCCATCACCTCAACACATAAAGGAAAAATTGGGATAACGGTTAGTATTCTGAATTAAAGAAATGAATGAAAAAGCTCCCTTAGCAAACGGAGAAGAGAAAGAAAGACCCGTAACTTGGCGCAGGTTATCTCTGAGAAGTCACCAGGGCACCGAGGCCCGTTACCTCTCCTATCCAACACGGCCGGGGAGGGTCCTGGCCAGCGCCGCAACACAGGATCAGGGAGAAAAAGCTGCTCCTCGTGACAGAAGTGAACATGCCCTGCTACCTGGACATGTGCATCTGTTAAGATGCACAACATGGCTGTCTGGTTGGTTGTTACACAGGCGTTACCATGGGTGGAAACTGAGGAAGGGTACACGCGGGGTGTCCCCAGATTATTTCTTACAACCACATGTGAATCTATTATTTCAAAATAAAAATTAGAGAAAAAAAAGAAAAAACAAGCAGTCTTTATGAAGAAAGTTCTATAACTTTACTGAAGTACATAACAAGACCTAAGAATATAGGCGACACACCAGCCACGTGGCGATTAAGATTCAGTGTCAGCAAGACCTCGATGAATCCAAATCAGTACATCACTAGTCACAAACCCAAACTCAGCTTTTGGTCCAATCTGATCAGTTACACTGATGAACAGAGTTGTGAGTAGTCCAAGCAATTCTGAGGAACAAGGAGGTGCAGGACTCACTCTAGTGAAGGCCTATTCTTTTTTTTAAGTTTTTTAAAAAAAATATGTATTTTGAGAGAGAAAGAGAGAGCGAGCGAGTGTGCGAGTGAGCGCCCGCACAAAGGAGCACGGGAGGAGCAGACAGAGAGGAAGAAAGAGAATCACAAGCAGGCTCCACACTACCAGTGCAGAGCCTGATGTGGGGCTCGATCCCACTAACCATGAGATCATGACCTGAGCTGAGATCAAGAGTCAGACACTCAACCAACTGAGCCACCCAGATGCCCCAGGGCCTAGTGTTAAGCTGTGCCATTTATAGGAAGTTCTGGCATAAAGGAGAGACAAATATACCAAAAGAATAGAAATAAAGCCAGAATCAAACCCATTAGAAGAACACTTAGTACACAAAAGAAGGGAAATTTCTATGCAACAGGTACAAAATGGACAATTCCACTCAGGAATGCTGGGATAGCTGACCACCACACAGAAACAGGCGAATTCGACCTTCGGGGGTGGGGAGGAGGCTTCACCACAGCATTAATGACAAGTCTGAGTTCAGAGCGTGTAAAAATCTGGTATGACCAAAGGAACCCATAGACAGAAGAATACAAGACTCCCTTAGATCAGACCAGAAGTAGAAGGATACACACTCAGGAGATACCCTGCACCACAGTTTTATAGACCAAACACTGAGTAATTTCCTGGCGTCAGGCGTATGTGTTAAAAGTATAAATGTAACAAAGAAGAGACATCCACCAACTTCAAGATACCGGTTATCCTGTGTGGGAGATAAGAGCAAGGGGTAGATGGGGAGGGGGCTCTTTAGCAGTATCTGAACCATTTTATTTCTTTTTTAAGGTAAATTTGAAGACAGCAAAATGTTAATGCCTATTAATTCTGGGTGGTGGGTACGTAGGTGTCAGATACTTTCCATAAACTTAAAACACTTCTTAGTTTAAGAAAGCAGACACGGCAAAGCAAAGAGAAGCACCAGGAGACGTAGAGCCAAAGCCAGATGAGACCTTGGAGGACGCAGGGAGGGGGCAGCGCAAGGAACCTCAAGTGTCAGGATTCGCACTGGGAGCACCAGCGCTGTCGTCCACAGCGAAGGAGTCAGCAGCGGTGCGCGCTGGTGGGAAGGTACCCGCCACGGATCTAACACCTGCTCACGAAGGTAATCTGTCACGGATCTAAACTCAAAACCCACCGAAGCGGGAAAGAGCAGGAGTGTGTCTCACTATGTGAAGTATTATCATGAGCATATATTACTTCCAAAAAAGCATTTTTTTTAACAGAAAAAAGGACGAACTGTGACCCCCAAATCGGAGACGATAAACATTGGCACGCCGACCTTTGGAGAGTTATAGATACACACTGGGGACTAAAACAGACAGCTTCCGATCTCCAGGAGTGTCTGAATGTTTTAGCTCTGTTAAAAAAGAAATGCCACATGAACCGTGTGTGCCTTGGTGAGAGTACCTACAGGCCTCCAAGGACTTAGCAGTGAACCGATTTACCCTGAGACGATGTTGTAGTTGAGGGCGGGGTGGTCGCTTGGGACAGGAGGAACGAGAGGCTCTGGCTGCCACTCCTCAATCAGTTCTTCCTTTTCCTACGAGAAGAAAAGAGTTAAAACACAACAGGGTTTGGTCACTGGACAGCAGCCATTCTGTCCCGTGTGTCTGTTACAAATCAACCAATAAATTCCTCATCTACTTCACCGACGACCGCGACCGTGACAGAGAGCGGCAGCCGGAGGCCCGGGTGCGTGAGGCGGCTGTCTGCCTGCGGCCCTGGAGACGGGCTGGAAGCAGTTCACGGTCCCCCCGTGGGCGGGACACTGCAGGCCCACAGAGCCCAGGCCCGGGCGCTGGGTCCACGACTCCAAAAGGGAAGCTTGAAAAACACCGCTGTCACAGTTGTGCTCTCCCAGGCTTCCAGGGTGAGGTGGCCGCGGTCCCTGGTCACTGCGGTCCCCAGCTGCACGGCAACCCAATGACTCCCGAGGAGCTCTGAAATGCCAAGGACCTCTGCCCTGAAGGCCCCGTCTTCCCGCAGGCTAACCCCACAGGTCATCAGGGCCACGTGCAGGGGGCGGGGCATCTGCGGTCAAGGTTAGCATCTCTCCAAACACAGGCAAATATCCACTGGCCTAGTAAAGGTTCTGTGAAATCAGGCAATGTGATATCTCCTGCTCTGCTCTAGCCAGCTTTCCAGAGGTTTCCAGAGATGCTCTGAGGACCTTCTGCTGCATGTCCCCTGGGGGACACGGCCTGAGTGCCCCCACAATTAGTATTAACGATCGGACGGCAGCAGCCAGGGAAGCGACGGCCACGCTGCTGCGCTTGCTGTGCTCTGCAGGCACGTGCTGCTGGGACGGCTCCGTCTCCGCACGGTGCTCAATGGTGCCGCACGAGCCTAAGCCGTAGAGCTTTCGATGGAAACCCTCACAGTCGCTAGTGTCTCTAAGCACTCCGGCCCAGCGCCACACGGGTGGCGCAGGGACACAACCTGGGTGATGGAGACCACAGCACAGTCACACCGCTCTCCCCTTTTGCAGTGGGGCCCAGGTCCTGAGTGCTCCTACCCCAGGGACGCGGGCGTGCTTCTGGTCCACAAGCGCCCTCGTCCCTCAGGCTAATGGAACTCCCCGTGGCCTCTAGATGCTTCTGCTTCCGAAGGCTCGCCCAGGGTGGTCTTGAGGTGGGCCCCGTACCAGAGAAGGCATCAAAACTGAGCTTGGGGTGGGGAAGTGGGAGGATTCTTTTCAAGTCTGAATTTCCATTATGAAGACAGGGAAAACTTTCATTCAGGTTTCGTAAACTGTGGTGGTTTTCCTGAGCAACTCATGTAATCCTGCACATTGACAATGGAAATCCAGAAGCTTCCTTTCTACCACCTATTCCTAAGACTGCTGCTGGCCTCTAGCCAACCACAGAGGTCTGGGACGTGGTATTCCTCTCGGTGTCGACTTTATCCCTGGCTTCCCCATGTTTTGCTTCCCTGACATCTCCTTTTATTTTTTTACATGACAGAAAATATTTTAACATATAAAGTTCAGCTGCCACAAAAATGATTTGTTTTGGAATGGTGTAGCCACTATAGTCATACACCAAATAATAAAAGAAATTTCTTACCTTGACTGTGAGATCAGATCGTTCTTGCAGCTTGTAAGTTTTAGAGAACAGAAGTCTGATTATCCAGAGAATTAGAATTCCTTCCAAAATAAGATGGTAAGCTGGAGCCTAAGAGTGAGTCAAAACCAAAAAAGAAATGAACCCTTCCAAACTCTGCACATAAAATGTAATGTACCTGCTTCCCACGACCTTTAACCTATTACTTCCAAACTTATTTTCAAAACTCCTTTCATTTCTACTCATTCCTTTCCCCATTTCTTTTTTTAAAACCTTTTATTTAATTTTTCTGAGACCAAGAGAGAATGTGAGCAGGGGAGGGGCAGAGAGAGAGGAAGACACAGAATCTCAAGCAGTCTCCAGGCTCTAAGCTGTTAGGACAGAGCCCGACATGGGGCTCAAACCCACAAACTGTGAGATCATGACCTGAGCCTAAGTTGCATGCCTAACCCACTAAGCCACCCAGGTGCCCCATCCCGATTTCTAACAGTTGGCAATTTCTCCTTCACATGATAAATCTCTAACAGTGCAGCTTTAAAACCTCTGTAGGAAAGAAATTTAATTTTTAAAATAAAATCTTATGCAGAATATCAGCAGGTGAAACAATATCAACGATCAGACCCTTCAGATAATGCACCTTTCTAGTAGTGGGAATAGGCACTAATGAACACTTCACAGCTTCCCCAGCCTGCTACCACCCTCGTCTACCCCCAATCAGTCAAAAGAGGTATGTGGAAATCAGTTTCCACAATTCTTAAGAGTTTTGCACATCTTACTCCATTTTCTCTATCTCTGGCATGCCTCTTTAAATCCTTCTAGGAATGTGACTGAAGAAGAAGAAGAAAAAAAGACTGTATAAATGACTAAAGGAACATCAGGCCTCTTTTCTACAGTAGTTCCCCAAAGTATGTGGTGTGTTCCATGTAACAGGCACACAGATGCCTTACTGGAATTATCCATGCCACGTCTTCAACTGTATATTCCCAAGATGTACAGTTGACTTTTATGTTTTGCACAACTGGACACACTAAGTGCATGTGGAAGACTCCAGGTAGCAACTAAATCCTGGTCAATTACAGAGTGATCTACTCCAGTAGGCTGTCATTGGAAAAATCATTTGTAAGAGGCATTTAGAAATGGAAATAGAAATTATTTTGAAACATCAGACAGAAAGAAAGTAAAGCTGATTTACCACAGTTAAAAAAAATTCAGAACGTGGAGACAGGAAAACTGCAAATTCAGAGGTAAACTTCTAAGTCAACATACAAATATCTTTCTGACTACGTATAAAGGTTACATACACTATTACTTCTTTCTTTGGTTTTCTCAATAATTATATTCTAATAGGCAAACGTCTGCCTAAGTCGCTAAGCATCCCACTCCACAAAGAAATCATCCTAAGAAAAACTGAGATACCAACTGTCTAGCGCATTAATCAAAATTATAAATGCTGCTTCTTTTCCTGGAAATGTTACACCCAGGAGGACACCTGACCAGTTACGCAGTCTTCAAAAAGGAAGTAACAACACATAACAGAAATTTATTCATTTTTAACAAAAATTCAATTTCAGTGGTTCTTCCCTTAGTTACTATAATTATTTTAGTATTAGCCATCACTTACACCACACCTGTTCTGTCAATGGTTTTTCAGGAAGCCCCGGTCAGTTCTGCAGTGGAAGACACCATGGGCTCTCCTGGCAGTAAGCAGCTATGTTAAGTTTTTAACAACTTATCAAAGAAAATTGAGATTTGCTTTAAACAAATAAGAGTTCTAGGAGCACAGGAATTGTTGCATGTTTGTTCACTGCACTATCCCTAACGTCTAGATTGTGCTGTCCCAATACCTTGGCCTCTAGTCACCACGTAACTATGTAAATATACATCTAAGTTAAATGAAATACTTAGCTTCTCACTTGCACTAGACACACTGCAAATGCCTAGTTGCTGCACTTAGTGGCTACTACACTGAAGAGCTCAGATACACAACATGCAGAAAGTTCTATCCGGAGGGGCATCGAAGCTCAGTAAATACATGTCAAGAGAATGAACTTTCTCTGAGGCTCAAGTGTTGCTAGCATATCACCTAACACACGTGAAATAATTAGCCTTTCAAAACACTCTTAACTATTCCGCCTTTAACGATCTCTAAAAATTGTTATCTTTGCAAGACAGAAAATAAAACGCATGTGGAAGAACGACAACCTATTTCATATTCCTAATTCCTAAACCCTTCGGCTTTCCTAAAGTCTCGCCCCGGCGAAAACAAACTCCCATCTACTGCACTTCTTTCCCCTATGACCTGCTCCACGGTCCCAAGGACTTGAACCCCCTAGGGCCTTCCAGACGGAGACCTTCCACTCCATTCTCACCACCCTGTTTTACCCTCAGCCCCAGCTCGGGTGTCTGAGGACAGCCTCGCTCCTGCGCCCCCGCGCCCGTTCCTTCCCCGCGCGCGGACGGAGACCCTCGGTTCCCGCTCCCGCGCGTGCCTCCCGCGCGCGCCCCTCCAGCGAGGGAACGTGAAGGTCCGGGCGCGGCCCGGCCAGCCCCGCGCAGGACCCAGACCACGAACCCACAGGAGCCGTCCCATCTCTCCGGGGCCGAGCGTGGTCATGGCCGCTCGGGCCGCCAAGCTCACCTCGTAGAGCGCCTGGACCATCTCCACCAGCACCCACTGCTCCGCGGCGGTCGCCATGGTCAGCCGCTGGGCTTCCTTCCGGAAGGCGGGTCTCTGTACGTAAAACACAGCGCGGCGCAGCCTAGTGACGTTTCGGGCCTGGGGGCGGGGCTGGCGAGGGCCGGGCACCGCCTCCTGGCGCTTGCGCACTGGAGGAAAGAGGGCGGTGCGGGCCTCAGAGGCGGTGGGTGGAGATCTTGGGGTCTCGCCCGGTGGCCGAGGGTTCGGGAACAGCGGGAGGGTTTTTGTGACAGGTGTTCCCCTGCTGCCTTGAGGTGGCAGACCCCGTGCCGGGCTCTCGGGAGGGACGGAGCGATTACTAATAAATGGCCCTGCCCCGGGCTGGCAGTGTTATGTAATCAAAGAAGTCCTCTTACAAAGGACACAAGTAACCCAGGAATGTATTATCACATATTTTACAGGAATATAAATGAAAACGGCCACCTCTATTTTTTTTAAATGTTTTATTTACTTCTGAGAGAGAGAGAGAGAGAGAGAGAGACAGCGTGAACAGGGGAGGGTCAGAGAGAGAGGGAGACACAGAACCTGAAACAGGCTCCAGGCTCTGAGCTGTCAGCACAGAGCCCGATGTGGGGCTCGAACCCACTATCTATGAGATCATAACCTGAGCCGAAGTCGGACGCTCAGCCGACTGAGCCCCCAGGTGCCCCCCCAAAAACGGCCACTTCTAATACAGCTCCTACCATGTGTACTGCATAGGCGAAACGCTTGGCGCCTATTAAGCCATTCGTTAGTTTGGTGTGAAATCCAGAACCTTCGTAGGCACCTGCAAACATGGTGTGCACACACTTATTTGGATTGGATTTCTTAAATCTAACTGGGACCCTAGGAACAATATTGACCTACAGCGTGCTTTGTTTCTGTTCTTTTTTTTCTTGCGGTGTTTTTTCCCATCTGTCTATACATCTTGTATTTTTAATCTTAATGAGGGGGGCGCCTGGGGGGCTCAGTCGGCTGAGCGTCCGACTTCGGCTCAGGTTATGATCTCATAGATAGTGGGTTCGAGCCCCACGTCGGGCTCTGTGCTGACAGCTCAGAGCCTGGAGCCTGTTTCAGATTCTGTGTCTCCCTCTCTCTCTGACCCTCCCCTGCTCACGCTGTCTCTCTCTCTCTCTCGGAAATAAATAAAAATTTAAAAAAAATCTTAATGAGGAAGACTAGTTATTGGAATAGCGTGTTAAACATACATATTTCTTGTTCCATTTTATTTAAATATTTTCCTGTTGGTGAACACTTAGGCCGTTTTCCACTTTTTCCTCTGTTACCAACAATGCTGCAGTATTTGTGTGTGTGTGTGTGTGTGTGTGTGTGTGTGTGTGTGTGTTCCTGTGGGAATATTCCTGAAGTGCTTTCTCAAGCACTTTAATCAAAGTATGCAACAGTATTAGCTTTGGTAACTACTGCCAAGCTGTTCTTCAGGATGGCTCAACCAATTTAAAATGTTTGAAAGTGTAGTCACACTCAAGCTCATGATAGCGATAATCTTTTTAAAACTTGCAAATTTAATGGAAATAAAATGGTACCTCACTAAGTTTTATTTTTTATGTTTCTGATTATTCATGAGGTTTAACAACTTTTTATTGGCATTTGTAGCCCTTTTCTGTCACCAATTCATATTCTTTGCCCACTTTTTTATTGGTTATTTTTCATTTTCTTATGGATTTACAAGAGCTCTCGCTACATTCTGAATATCTTCTATCTTCCTGTTTCATATGTGACATCTGTCATTGGGTTAAGGGCCCACTTTGGCTCAGGTCATGATCTCATAGTTCGTGGGTTCGAGCCCCATGTCGAGCTCTGTGCTGACAGCTCAGAGGCTGGAGCCTGCTTCAGATTCTGTGTCTCCCTCTCTCGCTCTGCCCCTCCCCTGCTCACGCTCTCTCTCTCTCTCTCCCTCTCTCTCAAAAATAAACTTAAAAAAAATTAACAAACAAACAAACAAAAAAACAGTGAAGCTACTCATTTTTCATCCTTTGTGATGTGGATAAGCCAAGAATCTCCTGAATCATCAAGCACTGGTTTTGTTTTTGCTTAACGGTGCCTTCCTCGACTTACCTCTTTCCTCTCCCATTTCATTCTAATCAGCAAGGAGGGACCAGTCTGCACCTGCAACACTTTGCTTAGAAATCTCAGCTAATGATTCAAGTTCATCACTTACAAGGTCTGCTTTCCACAGGACTACAGGACATGATTCAGCCAAGTTCTTTGCCGGCATACCACCTTTCCTCGTTTCCAACACCACGCTCATCATTTCCTTCCGCGCTTCCAGCAGACATGCCTGTAACATCTGTGTTACCACCATCCTGCTGATGAGCTACGCATTCTCTGAGATGACAGAAACCTTCTCTCTCATGCTCTTCATTTCCTTCTGAGCCCTCACCCGATTGCTTTTTTTTTCTTTAATATTTTTTATTTATTTCTAGGAGAGAGAGAGAGACAGTGTGAGCAGGGGACGGTCAGAGAGAGAGGGAGACACAGACTCTGAAATAGGCTCCAGGCTCTGAGCTGGCAGCCCCGACGCTGGGCTCGAACCCACGAACCGCGAGATCATGACCTAAGCGAAAGTCGGACGCTTAACTGACTAAGCCACCCAGGCGCCCCCCCGATTGCTTTTAAAGTCCGTATTTTTACTAATAGTCTCTTCAGGGGAGTCTAGGCTGTATCTCATGCAGCTCAAAATTCTTCCAACTTGTACCATCACCTAATTCCAAAGCTACTTCCATACTTGGAGGTATTTGGTACAGCAGGACTCGGCTTCCCAGGACCAAAATCTGTATTAGTTTCCTGATGGCTGTAACAAATTATCATAAACTGGGTTGCTTAAAACGAGAAATGTATTCTCTTATAGTCTTGGTGGTCAGAAGTGCAAAGTCAAGGGTCCGTAGGGCTGCATTCCCTTGGGAGGCTCCCAGGAGAATCTTTCCTTGCTCCTTTTACTTCTGGTGGCTCCATATGTCCTGTGGCTGGTGGTTGCTTTACTCCAGTCTCTGCCTCTACCTTCATGTGACCTTCTCCTCTTTCTCCATGTGTCTCTTCTCCGTGCTTCATATAAGGACACTTGTCATTGGATTTAGAGCCCATCTGGATGGTCCACGATGATCTTACCTTGGGATCCTTAATTATACAACCACCACCTTCCCTTCCTGATTCGACCACCCAATCAATATTGCATAATATTATATAACTATTATATAATATTGTATACAATATTGTGTAATAGAGTTGTATACCCAATATTATATAGCTATATAATATAGTACGTACCTATGTACACACTCTCATGTAAGTGCCTAACAGTAAGCTTTTGAATGCTGACACGTCCATTTCAAAAGACATCCATTCCAGGGGCACCTGGGTCACTCAGTCAGTTGAGGGTCTGACTTTTGATTTTGGCTCAGGTCGTGATCTCACTGTTCGTGGGATCAAGCCCTGTGTTGGGGTCTGTGCTGACAGTGTGGAGCCTGCTTGGGATTCTCTCTCTTCCTCTCTCTCTGCTCCCCACCCTCCATCCTCGTTCTCTCTCTCGCTCTGTCTCAAAATAAATAAACTTAAAAGAAATCCATCCTGAATAAATATACTGCCATCTGGATAACACAGCTGCTAGCTAAACAAGCAGATGAGGAATCAGGGGGCCCCATAGGATAGAGTTGGGGTTAGGGTTCGGTTTCTCTTTCAGAAACCCCTGGGTAACCTGGACAGCCGACCACCTGAGTGACCCTGCTTCTCCCCACACCCTAATTCCTGTGCGTATGCTTTCAGCTCATCAATAAAGAGTGAACCCAGGCAGGAAACCCAGGACCCCCCGACCTTGGACTCTAACTAAGGCTGAGCCCCAGATCTGCATTCTCACTCTCTCACTCTTCCTCTCTCTCTCTCTCTCTCTCTACCTGTGATCTCACAGCATGGCCCTTGGCCCTTGGCCATGCTGTGTGCCCTCCATGACCTGTAATAAATCTTGTTCCCCGAAGTCCCCCGCAATCATAAGAAACACAAGGGCAGCGCCAGCCACAACACGGGCTGTGCTCAGGGAAGTGTCTGGGGGCTCCCTCCTAGTGATCCGGGCCCAGGGGACTGGCCCAGGCAGGCTCTGCTGAGGGCATCCCTGCCCACAATCTGGAGCAGACACGGTACATAGACTTAGGTATTGTATGCAGTAACGTGAAACATTTTCCAATTCTTTTGCGGGCACTACGTGGGTCCTTTCAAGCTGAAGAATTGTGTCTTCAGTCCTAGAACAACTCCTTTGGTTATTTCTTTGACTATTTCTTCCACATTATTTATGATCTCTCTTTCAAAAGCTCCCATTTCTGGTCGAAAATATGTGCAAACTATATATCTGATAAGAACTTAATATCCGGAATGTATAAAGAAACCTGTAACTCAGTAACAGAAACCCAAACAACCCACGTAAGAAATGGACAAAGGATTTGAACAAACACTTTTCCAAAGAAAATACACAAGTAGTCACTAAGCACATGGAAGGATCTGAATCATACACTTAAATGTGGTTAAAGTAGTAAATTATGTTATGGATGTATAAATTTACCACAGTAAAAAAAACAAACCCTGCTTTTTTCCTTTATATGTATACATTTATGTTTTATATAAATTTTTTTTCAAAATTTCTGATTTTTGTTCTTTCATGATTAATTTTGGTAAAATTCCTTTATTTTAAGGTTTTTACTTATTTATTTTGAGAGAGACGTGAAGAGAGGCAGAGAGAGAGGGAGGGAAAGAGAGAGAATCCCTTGCAGGCTCCCCACTCAGCACGGAGTCTAATGTGGAGCTTGATCTCACAACCATGGGACCATGACCTGAGCCGAAAGCAAGAGTCAGATGCCCAACCAACTGAGCCACCCAGGTGCCCTGTTTTTTGGTAAAATTTCTGGTGTTGATATTTTAGTCCACTAATTTTCTCTTGTGCTTATGGAGTCCATCAGACCAGTGGTGTCAACTTGAATTTCAGTGACCATTTTTAGGAATGTTAATCATTTTAAATTCTAGATGTAGAATTCATTTCATC